CACCTATTCTGCATTCCCTGCTTATACATCTGGAATGGAATTAGCCTTTCTGACTGCACTGGGAGCTCACACTCAGCTGCTCCTACATCGTGAGTCAATCCTTCGCCAGAGTCACTTCCACAAACAGAGCTGCCAGACCAAAAGTGTGGGCTGGGTGGAGCAACTCACCATTGGGCTGTTTCAAAAACACCCCTTACATGCTTGTATCAACTTTAACATTTTGACACTTACTATCTAATCAATTATTACTACTAAATGTGTTGATTTTGTATCATTCCCGTTTTCTAAAAATCAAAACACAGTGTAAGACTCTGTCAGTTTCCTTGCTGGAGCCGTGTTACTTCAACAGCTTTTACATTTGTCAGTCAAATCCATAACCCAAACCTATAACTCACATCTCAAAAAGTTCCCAAGCAGTTTTATGAATTCTTTTACATAAACACATGAGACTTACTGTTAACTAGAACTCTTCCCTTGTTTTTAAATGATCCTAGTATGTGCTATTTCCTTATTCTGAGGTCAATAAGGAGCTGGTAGGCCTGTAATTACACGTGTCAGATTACTTATGGTTTTTGCTATTATTTCATCTCAGCCTATGGGTAATCTGCCAGATTTTCCAAGTGAAAGAAGTTTAATTCTAGACAAGAGCTGGAGAGAAACTTCTCTGCTTCCCCTACCACTTCATACATTAGAATAGGTGCATACTCTAAAGGTGTGTATGGGCTTTGTAGAGATCTGGAGAGGAGCTCACCTCTTGAGTTAACCAAAACAGGCCCAGGGGATGGGAACCAGCAGACACTCCTGAATCTGTCCCAAATGTAATAGACTTTGTGATTAATGAGGAAATGGAAAGCTGAGACTGGAAAGAGTTTATTTGTATGATGGGTGTTCATATATAATTTATATGCAATAAATGTTTCTAGCTATTTCATTAGTTGCAAATGAAGTGATACAAACGTGCACCACTTGGACCTGATGCATGGTGTGTGCCTAGGGCTGCTTCCAGCTAAATGGTGGTGGTTCATGTGCAGATGATTTAACACTCCAGCAGCCCCACTATCCAAATTATGCTGCAGGTTAATCCCTGGAGTAGATGTACTCCACTTTTTCAACCACTCATAACTTGGCTTAAAACAAAGATTTCCATTAAACTATCATATTGGCCTCAGACTGTGGTGAGTGGGAGCCAGCATCTATATGTCTCTCCCACTTTCTGCACAGCTGGAGAGCTCTGGAACAAGGAGTGCAACAGGACTGGAGCAAAGGAAGAGAAACCAGCTGAAACCATCACAGCTTTTTTTGCTCTTAATATGTCAATGGCTTTTTCAGTCATCAGAAATTCACATAAATGAAATTCAACCAGAAATTAGGGAAAACCAAAGAAAAAAATACACCACACGAAGTACCTGGATGGATCTGCTGCTGTTGAACAGAGCCCAGGGGTCATGGGATGTTCATATCCTACCTCAGCTCTTCACACATGGGCAGCCCATTTAAACCCTTAAGATTTCTTGGGACCATCTCCAAGGCAAGAAAGATTTGTGGATGTGAGCCAGCATGTTGGAGCTGGTTGCATGATAACATGCTGCCCTGTGATCACTTTGATTATCCTGCCCACTATAGATTGCAGCATATGCTCACAATGTGGGGCTTTATATAGAGGTGTGTCCTATATATATCCTCTGAAAGAAATCAGTTAAGCTAGCAATAGTGTGGGGTTTTTTTTTACTTGCACAAGAGGATTTGGGGTACAGGGCTATTACTAATAAATCAACATAAATAGATCAATATGTCAGTACTTCTGTGCTTGAATCCAACCAGCTATGGGGAATTTGTCCCCTGGTAGCAATCAATCTGCTGTACTTAAAGTTTCCTCACCAGATCTGCAGCAAGCACAAACTGATCAATGCTATTGCAAGTCAGTGGAGCATAACAGCTTTGTGTGCCCCAGAGTTCATCCTTGCAGGTCTCCTGCTCCTTTGCAAGGATACGGAGGTTAAATTATCCTTTGCTAAGCACATGGGATATCTCAAACTAACTCCCAGTTCTTTATGCAAAACCAGCCTTTCTTACCACCAGCCCAGTGCAGCCCAGCCAATGCCTCAGCACCTTTCCAGATGGAGTCTAATTTGGTCTTCCACAGGCAACAGTTCCACTGCAGTAGCCTGCAGCACTTCATAGAAGTAGATGCAGCAGAATGAATTCTGTGACCAATCCAAATTCTGCCATGCATCCTACATAGAGCCCTTCCCTTGGGGGTTGGTTTTCCAGGCTGTGCAGGGGCAGATGCACACTCTTGTGAGATGCTGGGCTGCTCTGTCAGAGGGGTGAGTAACATTGCTAGAGAAGGCATGAGGGACCTGGAGGACAACTCCACAATCTGGCTTTGGCTAATAGGATGACAGTCCTGCCACTGAGGGAAAGGTCCAGGGAACATCCCAGTGCAACTTCCTCCACTTGGAGCTCTATCAGAAATCACTTATTCCTGATAATTTCTGTGGGGAATTTTTCCTTTTCCCTGTGGTGACTGCTGATGGAGCCTCCTACCAGAAGTGATTTAGGATGCAGGTCACAGGAGTCTTAGAGAATGCATTCACTAGAGAATGCATTATTCCCACCTGAGCCCCAGAGTCATCTCTGTGACCCAAAGCAATGAGAGACCAGATCCTACTGGCTGCTGGAGTCAGGGAGAGAGCCCAACGTGGTGGAGGAGAGGGTCCAAGACCTATGAGTGGTGATGCATATACCACCAGGTCAAGCATTTACACCAGGATTATCCCAAACAAGGCTTGTGCCTAAAAACTGGTATTAGGTAGAGGTCAGGACTGACAGATAAAAAACTTTGGTAACTACCACCTACCTACAAGTTCTGTCCGGAACTCTTGGCTGTTAACAAGCTCCCTGGGACCAGCTCCAGCATTTAGCACTCAGAACTTGTGGGTACAAGTTCTCAGAGGTGAAGTTCCCAATGCCCCAAACACAGGTGGCAGCCGAGGCCTGGGGATAACCTGTGCTGTGTTTGCATGGCTGGCTGGACAATGCCACCACCTTCAACAGGCTCATTTCACTGCTCCCCAGAAGCAGATCTGGCTCATGAGTGGCAATGGATTTTCCTGGCCATGGCCTGTTTTCCCATCAACCTCTGAGGTTTGTGCAAAGAGTCTGCATAACTCCTGCTCATGACACAGAGTCCTGTTCCTCAAGAGTCATGCCACAGACTGAAGAAACACAAGCCTAGCAGCAGCCACTGCCTAACAATTACACTGCCTTCTGGTGGCTTCTTTTGAAGAAATTCCTACAATGCACAGGAGGGCCATGCCCTCTGCTAACAGCTGCAGTGATTGAGTTCATTCCACAAATCTGTTCTGCCAAACTGTCTCTCACTTATCACCTTTTGTAATCAGCCACCCACCTCTGACAGTTGCAGGAAAGAAACTATAGAAGGTACTGTGGCCTCTCTCCCTCTTGTAGTCTCCCCAGCACTTGTAGTCTGCTTTCCCGCTCCTCCACCATAGAGGCCTAAGAAAAAGCAATACACTGGACTTTCCAAACCTGTAAAAATTCATGTTCTGATTTCCTTTCTAATGGCTCACCTGGAGGGGAGGCTGTGAGCTGCATAGCACTCTTATTTCTTCTCAGTGATGGGTCCCCAAGGTTACCTTTCAACTGCTGTGGTGCAGAGCCTATTTTGCCAGCATGAGTTTGAGCTAGGCAGGAGAAACAGGGCTGTAAGCTTCTACACTGGTTTCTTTCAAGCTTTTTAGGCTGTTCTGAAAATGTATTGTGTAATTTAGGAGACTGATGTGCTGAACTGAGCAGAGGGCTTTCAATTATCAATATAAAAATGACTCCCTAAGAACAGACATTCATTATGCTCTCTCCAACTGTTTCAGCAAGGTGTGCCACTGCTCACAACGCAATTTGACTTTGCTTCCTTTGACTTCAGAGTCCTTGACTGAAGAGAAATGTTTGTAGTCTGCATTAGGCCTAGCAGACTGACTGTTGGAGGGAATGCAAGGCACCAGCAAACAGCCATACTTGGGTGTTGACTTTCTTGAAACTCAGTCCATGCAGCCATCACCTTTCTGGGCAACTGGGCAACTAACAAGGAAAACTATATAGAAACCTCTCCATCTGAGAGGGGTCTGTTTTTGCAGAAGAGGAACAGAGCGGCTAAGGCAGCACCGTCCACTGTGTATCTGTGGCAGCTTGGCCCTGCAGTAGAGTCAGTTCACTGCGATGGGTCACAGTATGGGAGGGTGACTCTTGTCCCTGGAGCAACATGATTCCAGCAAGTGTTAGGAGTTCAGAAGAGTCTCTCCATCAGAGAGCGACAGAAGTTCAGTGTTGGTGTCAAGCACTGAGCCTGTTTGATGTCATTATGAAGTCCTGGGTCACAGTTAAAACATCTCACACTGTGTCACCACAGTACAGGCAGTTTCTATTGTCAGTAATGTGTCTTCTGGAGATAGTCAGGGATGCAGCCGTTCCTCCCTGATTTTGATTCCTCCCTATCATGCCCAGGAGGCTGTTCTCAGCTTCAGACCCCACAGACCTCGTTAACTTCTGGTTACTCTCACTGAGCCTCATCCAAACACAGGCGGGGGCAGAGGCCGGGTTGCCGCGGGGAGGCGGGGAGGGGAGCGGGGCGGTGCAGCCGGGCCGGCCCGCCCTGCCCTGCCGCCGGGCCGAGCCCTCCTGCCGCCGCCTCAGCTCAGCCTCACGGAGCGGTAGGAGGGGGCCGGGGGCCGCGGGCGGAGCGGGGCAGGGGCGGCCGTAGCGTTGCGGGGTCGGTCTGGGCGCCGGGCAGGGGTCGGTGCCCGGGCAGCCCTTCCCCGGGGTCGGGACCGCGCCCTCCAGGGCGCCCTGAGGCGAAGGTCCGGGTGTAGCGGCGCCTCCTGCCCGCCTGGGGAGGCCCCAGCCCGGGCCCGGGGGGACCCCAGGGCCGGAGCCCCTCGGGCCCAGGCAGGGCTGCCCGGGGAGGGCGATCAGGCTCTGCCGGGAGCCCAGGTCGTCAGGAAGGGGCAGGTCCACGGTCACACCGGGAAGTCAGCCCGCGGTTGGTTGTCAGGATCTGGCCCGGCGAGGGCAGCTGGGATCAGACACAGCCCCGTGATCAGCAGGCAGGGCCACGGTTCCTGAGGGAGGGTGCTGTTGATGGAGACTGGCACTCCTACAGCACTGCTGGGGCTGGGCTGAGCTTAAACAGGGTTATGGAGAGCGCCAGGTTTGGCTGATTGGGACCATGAGGGCCTCTCCTCTCAGCCTAACCGCTCTGTCCTCATGCCTTAGAGAAATATGGGCTCAGGAAGGACTTGCTGTAGAGTGATTTAATTGCAGTGCAGTCTCGGGGGGCTATTTAAGGGAATAGAGACACAAGATAGGGGATATGGCATGAGACACTTGGGGATGGGAATAGTCAGGTTGTCTGTAAGGGGCCCCAGGGCTTGTGGGTAAAGGAGAAATGTTCAAACCACTATTGGAGGGTCTCCAGAGGCTGGGTGGTACTGGGGGGTTCACTCAGGAGCCGGGGGTTGAGCAAAGGTCAGGTGTAGCTCCATGATTGCCTGGCAGATCGGCAGTAATGAGACAAGTTTGAGGTTGAGCAGGTTTGCCTGGCCTGCTGTGGACCTGTATTCCATGTACAGTCCCTGGCCCTGAGGGGTGCACGGGCAGGTAGCAGCAGTGACCTGCTGTGGGGCACAGAGCCATCTGCTCTCTCGAAGGTGCCGACTGGTGGTGCGAATGAGAAGCACCAAGGTAAAAGTGAACAAGGTGGTAACAGTCTACTATTGGAGGCAGCATTCCCCAAACAATCTTTCTGGTGCAGGACAGGTGCCTGGCTGACTGCAGTTAACTGGGGGAATTCTGCATGGTTCCCTCTTGCCAGATCTCCTGCGCCTTCTGGTCGGGTTGCAGCTGCTGCAGAGACAGAGAGGAGGCTTTCTCCTCCTGCATAGGGAAAGCTTATTTCTTCCTAGGAACATTGCTAGTACGTGCTGGGAGGAGGATTCCCCAAACAGGCAGTCAGGGACGGCAGCTTGGGATGTTGAATGGGGAGCTATAAATCAGCAAGCTGCTAATTAAGACCACAGGAGGCTGGTGAGTTACTAAAGACTTGTTTTACTCTTCTCAGAGCTTTGGACCATTAACAAGACCCCTGGGACCTACTCCCAAGCACGTGGCTCTCTGGTGACCCTATTTTGGGCATGTTCTCAGAGTTGAAGTTCCCTGTACCTTGGGGCCACGTGGCAGCCAAGGCCTGGGGACCCTTGGAGGGACACCCTGTGCTGTGTTTGCATGGCTGGCTAGACAATGCCAACACCTTTGACAAGCTCATTCCACTGCTCCCCAGAGGTAGGTCTGGCTCATCAGGATGGCTCTTATTGTGTGTCAGGGCTGCACATCTGATACTATCTCCCTTTCAGGCTGCTATTATGTGGCAATGGATTTTTCTGGCCATGGTTTTTCATCCCACCGACCTGCCGGCTGCCCCTACCATTTCCTGGATTATGTGACTGATGTGCGCCGCGTGGCAGACGGTGGGTATTTGAAGGGACCCTTCAGGGGATGCTCGTGCAGAGGGAGCTTTATTACTCCCGCTCCTTACAACAAGCAGGCAGCATTTACTGCTAGGAAGGAATCAATTCCCCCTACTTATCCTCAGTTTGATGTTAGCCAGTGCTTTGTGACTGAATAAGCGTCACTGTTTTGCTAAAGGAAGAGACAGTAAGCCCTGGGAAGCAAGTGTTTCTATACTAAAAAGAGCAGTAGTGGTGAAGTAGTGGATACAACTAAATCGTGTTGCCAGACTGACTTTTTGTAAGCAGCCAGTGACTGCTAACCAGTATTAGGTGTAAGCTGGAGACTCTTCTGGTTCTCTCTGATGGCAGCTTGCTGCTTGCTTTGGTATCATACAAAGAAATCTGAAAGCCAGAGTGTCTTGTGCTCCTAATAACTCCTGATGTAACTGTCTGTTTGTATGCTGATCTCGCAGGAGGTTGTGGCACGTGCAGTTTTGCATCCCTTATTCAGTACACAAAGAGCCTCTAGAAGTTCTCTGATGTTCTAGAGGGTAAAACTCATCTTTCAGTGATGTATATTTCAGATGGACAGAACTGAAAAAGCTGTATTTTCCTGTAAGCCTCTCAGAGTGCCCTAAAAATGGACTGAAGAGCCTGATGTGCTAAATGGTGTAGAGAACTTTCACATGGAATAATTGTACTTTCCTCAAAGCAGCAGACCTGGTTCTGTGTCCTCAGTTGTCTCGCAGAACACCCTGCAGCAGGATGCTCTGTCAAGGTCTCTCTCTTTCAGCAGATGCTGCCTGATTAGGCTCCTCTGCTTCTTGCCAGTCTCATGTCTGGCAGTGAACAGGAATTTGCTGGAGTTTGTTTGACATACAGAGAGCTCAAGAGCTGCACGGCTTAACTACCAACAAAATGAACTGGTGAATGCATTTTTTCTTTAAAACTGGCCTACTTAGCCACCTAGTTTATGGATTAAGAAGCAATTAAGCAGTGCAAAAGCCCTCCTGGGAGAAGGGGCCCATGTTGGTGGAGAAGCAGCAAGATGCTGCTCTGGTTTCTAATGCAGCACTATCTGTTTTTGTCTGTTGCCACTTAGCCTTGCAGTGGAGACGGTTCACCCTGATGGGTCACAGTATGGGTAAGTGGCTCTTGTCCTTGTAAGCTGTGAGATTCATGGAAATAGGAGTAGATAATTAACTTACAAGACATGCTGCTAGGAGCTGGGTTAGAATATTTATTATATTGTGTCAAGTACCAGGTTCCTGCTTGAAAAGAAAAAAATTGAAAAGATTCAAAAATCTGTGCCCTTGTCTGAAATGCCTCTGCTTTCAAGACCCTGTAGTACAAACAGTGGTAACTCTTGCTGTGGGCATTTCCCCACCCCCAGGAAGGAACAGTGATGGGCAAAGAGGGGTGGTCTATGAAGGAGAATTCACAGCCTTCCTGCCTGGTCCCCACAAAGCCTGGGAACAGAGTTCCCATCTTGGTGGGCTATAAAGCTTGCTGAGGGGAACTGGACTCCAGGGTCCACCCCTTTGTGCTTGGAACATGATTTGGTTTTGCCACGATATGGGGTTTGCTCCCCAGGGCTGCTCTGGCCACAGCTCACAGGACCTGCACACCATACCCTTTTAACTAGTAACTCCTCCTTGGCCTTTGCTGCCTGAGAGGCAGGTGGGGATGGCACAGGATGGGGAATACAGCAAGCCAACAGCCCTGCTCTATGCCTGCAGCCTGCCTGCTGGGAGAGCTCTACCATGTACTTTGGCTTTGTCCTGTGGTACAATGTGCATTTTTACTTCTGAGGCTGCTCCTGCTGTGGGGAAGGGAAATTTCCGTTACTAGGGGCTGTTCTGGGCATAACTGAGCACCCTTCTCTCCTTCGCAGGTGGGGCTGTGGCAGGAATGGTGAGTAAAGCATCATTTCTTCATGGGGTTTGTGATTTCTGCAGCTGCAACAACAAATGGGAGAGGAATGAAGAGACAAACAGTGTGGGACCTGGATCTTGGGAGGAGAGGCCCTTCCCAGACCCCCTCTTCCATGTAGCAGGATAAAGACATCACTCAGTGCTCAGCTTTTCTTTCTCCTGTTGTTTCATCTCTCTTCAGTTCTGCTTCCTTTATCCTGAGATGGTGGACAAGCTGATCCTGCTGGAAAGTCTTGGCTTTCTGCTTGCTCCAGAGGTTAGATTTCATGTGTCCTTCCCTTCGCTTTTTTTAAATACAAAAATAGATGTTTTTTTTCTTTGCCTCGTTTGTTCAGAGAAAGCACTGATGTGACCAGTTCCTGTCAGGTCACACAAGTCCCAGGCTCTTCCTTTTGGCAGGCACTGATCTGCTCCTTGTTGCACGGACTGAGGTCCCTACTTAGGGTGGCCCTTGGAGGACACTTGGCAGTGCTCCATATCATGCAGTCCCTTAGCACCAAAATTGTCTGTGCCATGCCCATGTACAAAGGGAAGCGGAACCTCTGTCCAGGCAGCTGCCAGCTGAGGTTTTCTTTTTGCCAATGGCTTGTTGGGTGACCTGGGTGCAAGACTGGTGGATTTCTTTTTCTGTTCCTGGCAGGACATAAAGTTACATTCCCAACTTGCCATCATTGCTACCAGATGCTGGAGCTTTGGTTGGCAGAAGTGGGACAGAAGCCCTGGGTCAGAGATACCAAATTTTGGACAGTTGTCCTCAACTCAGAAGTGAGGTAGGAAGAGTTAGAAAAGGTTGTAAGGGTAAAAAGTAAGTTCGTTCATTACAGCAGTATTGATGTTCCCTTTTTTCCAGAAACGGGCATTTTTTAATAGGATATCCATAACCGATACGAGTTCTGGGGGATGTTGAAGGGTGAAATTCCCTCTTCTACCAGCTGATAGGGGGTAAAATGATTCAGAAGAGAGGGGTTACTCCTCTCCCTCTCTGTGTTTCAGGACACTGAGGCATGGCTGAAATCTAAACGGAGGGTGATTGACAGATTACTGAGTCTAGAGGCAAAGGAGCAAACTCCCAAAGCACGGAGCCCTGAAGCAGCATTGCAGAGGTGGGTCTCCATCTTTCCTCTTCATTTGCTGCTTGCCCTCACCTTGACAGTTACGGCTGCAAGAATGAGAAAGGGAAACTGTCCCTGCACTTCCTCTTTCAAGTCCTCCTGTGGAATCTCAGCAAGACCTTTTGCTTCTGCTGCCAGAAGCTGCTACTTCATCCCGCTCCTTTCTGAAGTAGCCTGAGAGCTTGCTGTCACCTTGTCATGTCATTTTTGTTTTGCTTCCTCCCTTTTCCAGCAGCACTATCTCTCTGCCATGTCTCCCCCAGGCTCTTAGAAGCGAACAGCCATCTGACAGCAGAGGGTGGAGCAATCCTGCTGCAGCGAGGAGCAACTGAGACACCCACTGGTAAGGGGCTGCGTGGTGCTGGGCCAGCGTTGGGTGTGGGAAGGGACTGGTGCCAGTAGCCATTGTCTTCTGCAGGGTACAGGATGCCCTAGCTACAAGTTTACACAGCCTGAATGGGATCAATTAAGTCTGGAGGCAGAGCTCTCCATTCCCAGCAACTGGAATTGGTGCTCGAGTCCTGGAACAGCTAAAGAAAATAAATCAAAAAAAGGGAGAAATCTGAATTAACACTGTCTCCCTATCTCAAAAAGTCTTGGACAGACCCCACAAGCGAGGAAAACCAGAACAACTCTTGCTCCTGTGAGACATGAAAACCTTCTGTTGTTTTTCTTTCCAGGGCTGGTATATAACAGAGACATGAGAGCCCGTATGGTGAGCATTGCTCTTCTAACGTGCCCCCTACTACTTCTGAGCCCTGAGCTTACAGAAAACTCAGAGATAGTGGAGGCCTGCTCAGTGAGCCCAGGCTCTGCCTCCACCCAACCATTTACTTTCTGCTTTCATAATTCCCACATCTCCTTTAAATGCTGCTGTTAAAAGAGCCTGGACTTAATCATTGACTCAACTTACAGAGTCACTGGAAAATGTTACTGATTTTTTTTTTTTAGAAGTTCCTCTGCCCCAGGGCCTCCTGGCCACATTTTCCTGCTGTTATAACTCTTCGGCAACAGATGGATGGGTGCTTTCTGTCAGCTTCTTTGTCAGGTGACCCATATAAGAAGGGGAAGAGAGTTGATCAAAGTCTTTACATTTGATATTTTGATAGTTTTGTGCCACTTTTGAGCAAATAGGGCCTCCTCTACCTGTGCTACTGCCAGATATGGAAGCCATGGTAGTGTACTGTCTCCTTTTTAGTAAAAGGATTTTTAAAGCTTTTCTCTGCTATGAGATCATTCCCATATGTGCTGCATCCCAGCAGGCAGTGTTGTTGGCAGCCCTGAAACGCAGCTGGACAAAAGGAGCCTTTGCAGAGCCAGATACTCCTGTGCACAGCTCTGGACACTTATCATGTCCCAGCATGGAAGCTTTGGGGCCACTGCCACTTCTACCTTCAGAGCCTCTAGAGCAGGAGGGCTTAGGGATACCCTCTGCCCTCAGCTGCTGTCCCTGACCTCTGCCACTTTCCCTCTCTTTGCACCTGCAGCAGAGTCGAGAGTCCCTCACAGTGGATCAGTGCGTGAAGCTCCTGAAGAAGATCCAGGACCGTGTTCTCATCATTGTGTGAGTGAGACATAAGCCAAACCAGCTCTTGCTGCCTCCCTTGGTGGAAGAAATGAAGGCTAGGAAGGAGTCCTCCACTACCCCTTCCTCTACAGCAGTCACCCAGATCTTTGGCCAGTTAGCACAACAGTACAACCTCACATAGGGGAAGTATTTTCCAGTTTCCCACCACTGCCCTGTGTTAGGCAGGCTCCTGGAACAGGCAGGAGAAACTGGAACATCCTTTCAGCCTGGCACTCTGCTTTCAGGCTGGGTCTCCCTGGTGCAAAGCTGACTGAGGAAATGCTAGTCCTGTCCCATCTTCCCCACGCTCCTGGCTTCATGATCCCATTGGCCCTACAGCAAGGGGCCATCCTGGCAAATATGTGACCCTCCACAGCACCACTCCAACTTACTGTCCTCCTGAGCTAACTGCAGTTTTGGCTTCCCTGACCTGTTATAGTATCATAAGCTTTCTTGTCCAGAAATGTAACATCATGGTAAGGCCAAGTCCTCAAAGCCACAGAGAGTACATGCCTTTGAGCCTGGGATGTCACCTTGTCCCATCACCTGCAGCACAGTAGGAGACAGCATGATCTTTGCTCTGCAGGAGCTCCAATGCTGGCTTCTCCTGGGAAACTGCCTTCATACCTCCCCCTCCAAGCAGGGCACACCCTGTTTAAATCAGCAGTATGGAGGGGAAAAAGGACAGTGGGGAGATGTGGAAACAGTAAGGAAGGAAAGAGTTAAGAGAGGAAGACAGAACGGGAGCAGGGAATGATGTTCTCAGATCAGTTACAGAGACAGCCCTGAGAGGACAATATTTAGCCAGTCTCCACTCTGATACCACTAGGCAGTCACCCAAGGTTTTACACAGATAGTTTGATAGAAAATAACTGCTTAGCCAAGCTGTGCTCTGACTACCACGTATGACACTGTCACCTGGCTGCTTACAAGCAGCCTGGAAAGAACAGTTGGTCTGTCACAAACACCCCCCCACCACTGTCTTGGGGACACTGCTTCTGCCCAGGGCCTCAGCAAAGTCAAATGGGGGCACACTGCTGTACTGAGCCTTGCTGTTGCTTTTCAGATCACAAGATGGACTTTTGGTACCACACAACTTACACAGCAGAAATCACTTTGTGAAAGCCCTGCGGGAGGCATTTGAGTCTACCCTCAAAGAGGTGAGAGCAAACACCATCCTTGCATCTCTACTCTATGCACCACTGACCTGGGAGCAGCAGCTGGGAAGCAGCTCACCTTGGTGGACACCCCCCAGTAGGTGACTTGTCCTGAAGGGCACAGCCCTCACGCTTCTTGCCCCTCCTGCCAAAGTCCCAAGTTAGTACTGCCCTCTGGACCTAGATCTTCCCTGGTCCTCCCATCCCTGTCCTGCCTCCCTTGCCCCTGCCCCTTCCCATGAGTGTCACAGCAAGCAGTGTTTGCCTGAGGGAACGCTTTCCCAGTCTACATCTTCTTGTGTCCCTTCTGTCCAGCACATCCAGCTAGTCGAGGTGCCTGGGAGTCATTTTGTGCACCTGAACGAGCCTGAGGTGGTGTCTGGGATCATCAGCAACTTCCTGACAGTGCAGAACACTAGAGCTAGACTCTAAGAAACCCCAGTGGCTGCAGCAGTCCAAGAGAACTGGGAGCTAAAAAGCAGGCTCCAGCAGAATTGTCACCATTCCTACCTCACATCCAACTCCTCACATCATGATACTCTTTCCTGCGCTTAGCTCACTGCAGAGTGGAAGCATGTCTGCCAGGGGTTCTCTGAAGGAGAGCTGAGCAAAATATCTCTGTTGTCAAAGGGAAGAGGAATCCCTACTCTACTTCCAGCTCTGTGAGTACAAGGATGGAGGCCCAAAGTGGCCTCCCCCTTGGCTTGTTCCAAACTTGCACCCTGAAACAGTGCAGGAATACAGGCAGAGGCATCCTCTGTGACAGCAGCACCAGCTTTGACACTGCAAGAGAGGTGGCTTATCTTGCCTCCTCCCTGAGGATGGTGTGGCCAGGCTGCTCCCAGGATTAAACCTGCTGAAAAACAAGTGAAGTTTTCTGCTTCTCCACTTACTTCCATAGGGGCCTGAGCTCAGAGGGCCTCAGTGTCTTTCTTCTACTGTGAGAGCTGGTGTTATTTTAGAAGTCAGCTTAAATAAGAGCTCACCTAGGCACAGAAGCCCATTTTAATGAATGTCACTAATCCTCTAGCTGAGGCAGCTAGAGCTACTAATTATGGAAAAGTTGGCAGAGATGATTTCTGTCCTAAATAAAGATTAATCTCCTAATGTTAAGTCTTCTTGATTCAATAGGAGAGCGAACCTCCCTTCTCTTTCGGTATGCTCACCCAAGCAGCTAAAACATATCTTAGGAGGCAGCAATTTTTACACACAGTCCACCTTAGATAGGGCATATTAAGGATCTGCCTCCCAGCTAAATTAATGCAAAAAGCCAACTGAAGCAGCAACACAAGCAATGCAAACTGTATTTGCAGTGGGCTTTCCAGGAAAAGGTAAATCCATTTTAAATCAGCTCTGTGGAATTTACCAGCACTTCCACCTTACATTCACGGTCACACCTGCACTGAGGCTGCAGGCAGTAAAATAAATGTGTAAAAGTCTGGGGCTGGGCAGGTTACTTCGATTGCAGAGTGTGCTGGGGTGACCTATCACTAAGTCCAAAGCTGCACAGATGTTATATGTGCAGTACAAAAGCACCGATTCACACCTAGATGTGCCTGCTGCCACCCTTCCCTGCCTTCTGTGGGCTGGTGACAAGTTAAGTGGATACAGGCCTTGGAGAGTCTGGTTTCTCATTCCAAGGCCAGGCTGCTTGAAGTGGCACTTGTTCTTGCAACAGTGCCGGACAACAGACATTTCCTATGGCCCAGATATGGCTGCAGAGCTCCACACACAGCTGGACAACTGGGCAACTCAACACCTGGCTGAGAGGGAACTGCCAGGGAGGGAATCACTGAGGGAAGGGGTAGGGCACTTACCAAACCACTGATCTTTCCTTGTGACAACAGGTCACAAGGATCTCTCCAGCTGGGCTTTTCCCAAAGTCGCTTCCCTCCTCTCCTTATCCCCAGATAAAATGTGCAAAGGAGCACCAGCTTACAAGCCATGAGTTTTACTGCCAGCCCAGCACACAAGAAGCTGTTCCCCACAGCAGACTGGGGTGGGAGAGAGCAGCATTCCCATGTTTTGAGAACATAGCAGCAGTTTATTTACAGTTCTTCAGCCATTCCCTGCCCCTGCAGAGGCTGTGCTAGGTCAATCCCAGTTCTCACCAAGCTTTAGGAGAGCCTGAGGTGGCAGGTTGTCACAGAATGTGCCTCAGCCCCCCTGACCTGAGCACCCTGGGAAGTGGTGCCACAGGGCCAAATAACAGCCAGGAGAGCAGGAGGATACTGGTACAAGTAAAGAGAACTCCCCTCCAGCAGTAGTTGCTGGGATCTCCCGTTTCAGATCCAAGGGCAGAGACAACCCAAAGCTGCCTCAAGTCCTTAAAATCCTTTGGCAAATGGAGTCATTAGGCATCTCTCCCATCCTCTCCAGCACAGGCACCTGAGGAACAGCTCAGCATAACTTAGTATGGCCGAAACTTGCGCTGGGCTCGCATCAACGCAATCCTCTGCTTGTCCTCCTCGAATTTCTTCCTCAACTGGGCAATGTCTAAAATATGGAAAAAGAGAACAGGTCACACGGGAGCAGCAGATCTCCCTCTCCTGGGAGCTTCACTTCCACAAACCAGGAGGGGCTCAGTCCCAACAGCTGCAAACACACACTTCCCAGAGCGGGTCCTTTTACACCTGGGCTGAGTGCCAAGCCGGGGCTCTGGCCCTTCACCTCTGGCAGTGCTGCAGCTCCCTCTTGGGGAGGAAACTGGATATTTTCTCCCTTCAACCACTGCCTTCGTGCAGACTAAATAAACACCTTGGAATACCACGACCTGCACACTCTCCCACAAAATATTCCAGCAGCCCTTTCTAGGACAGGTGGTGGCAAGAGGCCTCTCAAGAGCTAGTGAGGCCATTTGCACCCATCCAGCCAGCTGTTCACCAGCAGCTGGATGTAGCCTCCCCTTCAGCAGAAGGCTTCCTTCAGCGGAAGGAAGAAGGATGTTCTTTGAGCCACAGTGTGAGACAAGAGACATGGGCAGGGGTAGGAGGAGACTTGGACACTCACGCTCTCTCTTGGTCTCGCGATGCTGCCAGGCATAGAAGTTGAGCAGCTCTTTGCGGGCCCTTTTCTGTTTCTCCTTCTCCAGCACTCGCAGATTGGCAGCCTCTGTCCGGGGCAGGCCAGGCTTCCGGCCCTTTCGCGTTACCTTCACCCAGCCCTCCTCATCTGGAACACCCTCCTCCTCGGCTGCTTTGGCTTCTTCCTGTAAAGACAGGACGGTAAGACAGCTCAGTGCAGACGGGCTGCCAGCCAGCCTGATGCACAGGTCCCTCAGCCCTAGCTTAAATACATGCAAAGCTAGAGCTCCTGCTTCCAACACAAGATTTAAAGGAAGGTGTGGGACCAGGGGTTTAGGTATTCAACTTGCAGTCACAACACTGCATGCCAGCCAGGACTTTATTTGTGAATACCTGTTGTAAGGCCTGGGTGGAAGAGTCAGGTGTTGCAGACCAAACCAGGGCCTGACTGCCCACCAGGTACTGAAAGTAAAAGACCTCTGCCAAGCACTGGGACCCTCTGCCTTTTCCACTGTGGCTGGGGCACTGAGAAATCTCTCTTCCTTTCCTCTCCCCCAAACACACCACTTAGCTGGGTTCCCTCCCCAGTCTGGCCTCACCTCTGCCATCTTTTTGTCATAGTCTTGCATGTAGGCATCCACCTCAGCCTTAAGCTCCTTCGGATCCACGACAGAAGCCTCATAGCTGGCGATCCACTCTGAGACAGAGAGGGCACAAGTCAGCAGTAGCCGCTGTTAGAAGCAGGCCCCAGTGAGATGCCTTTGGGCAGCTCTAGAGTGAACGGCTACGGGGTAAGGACTCTGTTCCCATTTCTGTTCAGCCTCCCTACTGCCACAGATCAACCGACTTGTGGCCGAGGGCAAAGCCAATAAGCAATGGGAAGAGTTTGCAACTTTCCCAGGCAGAAGTGAACTAGCCCTACCCCAAGGAGCACAACGCTCAGGGCTGGGTTCCTGTCAAGGGGTTGTAGCTGAAGTGCTGTCATCTTGACAAACACCTGGTGCCTGTTAGTGAGTCTGGATTCCATTTTGAGGGCAAGATGCAGACAGTATCTCTGAATCTATATGATACTGAAAAGATGTCGGGAAAACCCCCCCTTCCAAGCGACCCCATTCTCCCATAGGGTTACTGGACTAGACTACAACACCCAGTACAATAAGATTTGTACCCTGTGCATAACAGAAGCAGGACAACAAAACACTGAACATCTCCCAGCTTAGTACAAAATGGGACATGCAGGGTAGGATTCAGCAAGTAACGAGTATAGTTTTTTCCTAATACTAGCTAGTAGAAAGATAGCTAGGGCTGACGTACTGCTAATGCCCGTTTTCACAGGGTGGCTCTCTGTTGATATTAGCAAGGGACCTTCCTGTGACAGAGCCTTGGCTGCCTGGACACCCGCTGGTTTCCTGAACACCACATAGGCGACTTGAAATCCCTAAAAGAAAAAGACACCCAGGTCAGTCAGATACATTGGGGAAACTGGTGATGGCAGCATGAAGCTGCAGTATAAATAACATTAGAAAGTAAAATAAAAATCAAACCACAAATTGCAGTGGGATAGGAAAAAAAATAACATAAACTTAAATATGTAATCATGTCACCCGATGCCCTGAAATGGCTGCCTATATCTCATGTTCTAAACAGAACCATTCAGTGCTTGCCGTCTTTTCCCCCTAAAGCACCAGTATTCCTCTGCCCCCCGAGCTTTACCGTTATAGTTTTGCGGTTGAAGAATTTGGACGTCGGCTTTTCTTTTTTCGCTCCCGGCCCTGGCTTGTCACAGATGTCCACAGACTGCACACGCCCGCAGCGGGAGAACAGCCTAGACAGAGACTCCTTGACATGGAGAGTAAGAGAGAACACGCGGTACAGCAAAGCAGGAGCGATGCCCCTCCCCGCCCTCTCACGCACAGACTGCAGCACACTTCGGGCGGCTCTGCCCGCAGATACCCCGCCTCACGCCGCCTCCTGTGCCCGCAGCTACCCTCGAGACACGCCGGCTCCCGCGGCGAGGCCCTCGGCCTCCAGCCGCCCCCTCGCTCGGTGCGACCCCCAGCCCCACTCACCGGGCCGCAGTACGGGGGCACGTTGAGGACGAAGAGCGTGCGGCGAGGCGGGTGCGCCGTGTCGGCCCCTTCCCGCACCTGGTGCTCCTTCACCAACAAGCAATGGGGCGAGCGCTGCCGCGCCCCGAACTTCACCGCCAGAGCTGCGAGGGACGCACCGGTTACAGACGCCGCTGTCGCCGCGGCCCCGCTCCGGTGGCCCCTCATCCGTGTACCCCGCTCCCGGTGCCCGCCGCTGTCCCGAGCCCCTCATCCGTGTACCCCGCCGGCCCC